TCCTTATGTCCAAACTCCACATCACCACTTTCAAGCAGATATCGATCGGAAATATCACACACCAACAGAACAACTGTACCACATTCTTGGCAAAGAAATATATCTATATCGCCAAGAAGCATGAGAAAAACCTGGAAAATATTCCAAGAAAAGTTAACGTGGAATAAAAATTAATTGGAAAAAAATAGCTGCTGAGATCATAATGTACGGTTCGCCAATCTCTCACCGGGTTCCAATTGAATTTCCAAACCCCACCAAAAATTCCTGGAGAGTTTTCGAGCGATTAAATGGTAAAATCTCTTCATAAATTGGAGGAAAATATTGCCACGACAAGACGAGGTAAATAGTAAAAAAAATGAACCCACCTTAACATCCGTTGCTTCGCCGCATTTGACAGATCTAGAGTCGCCATTTGAGAGGAAAACTTTTAAAGTGGATCGAGCAATGTCGGAGCCCGTAGACCCACGATTAGAGCTATTTCTCTTGCTAGAATTCCGGGACATTTTTAGTTCTTTAATAGTCAACGCGATTCCCTGCCATTTTGTAAACAACAAGAGCGCATCAACAGCCACAACAGAGCGTGACTTCTGGCCAAGTCTCGCTGGTAGACATTTACTTGTCGGGACTCTGTAGGAACTTTGTTGCTTATTTCCGTTTTCCTTCGTTGATACTGACTAGTGTGTAACACATACAAGACAACGCAGGCAGGTCCTTCACTTGAAATTATGCCCTTTCGTTACCCTGTTTCTCCTTGTTGTTGATGTATCACAACTGAGGAAGATTCCAGTGTAAATTATTATCAAAAGAACCCGCTGGGAAACGAGGTGATACAAGCTAATTGTAGTTGTTTTGAGAATATGAAGAAAAGCAAGATGGCTGACAAAAGAGCGTAATGCATCGTGGGTAGGGAAAGTGGGTGCGAATCAGATGGATTTCCGGTGTAACGAAAACACCGGAAGTTGAAATAAAAGCCAAAACATCACTCATTGAATCGCTAAGGTGTTTGCGAATTGACGCAATAATTTCATGTCTGGCGGTTGTAGAATTTAGCTGTGTTCGTCTGAAAAAGATCCGAGGTGCACATTATCAGCTAATGAAGCGAACAAATGCCACTTTATACATGATCTGTTTTGATAAACAATCTTGCTTCCCGTTGGAATCAAAGGCAAATCAGGAGAGATTAAAATAATAGATATGGTCGACCCTACTTCACTACGTGACATGCATTAATTCCACTCCAAAACAGGACCTGAGAGAGGACATCGGGTCTGACTGCCGTCTATGATTTTTTTGCTTTGCTATTTTAAATGAGCTTTTCATTTCTTATCAGCTTTTAGAGCCATGTCACGATATCTCGAGAATTTTTTTGCAATTAATTAATAATAAACCAAGGTGGAACAAGATTGGTCTTAAAACTAGATTGGGAAAGCTTCGTCGAAGGGAATCATATAACGCCTGAATGAGCTGAATTAGCACTACAGCGTGACGGTTGCTTTGTCATAACATAACATGATATGATACTTTTAACAGAGAGATAGGGGCATGTTTTTCCCCTGAGATTTTTGACATGCAGAATGAAGCCTACGATTGTAGTTTGAAAAGTCAAGAATTGTCTTACATTATAAAGAGGGATTACTAGAAGTCTCAGTAAATCGGATCCCGTTTGAGTCCGCCCGCTAAAGATAAGTTCTCTAGATGAAGACTATGGACACTTGAACACGCAATAGACCGGCAGGTATGCATTAATGTGTTTTGAGGCACGTTTGTGATATTTTTAAATGGATTTTTATTCCCTTGCACTTCAGACAGTAACTTTTACACTCCTTTTCAAACATTTCTAATTGCGTTACGTTTACAATGTAATAATTGTATCAAAATGTTCTATCTTCAGAATCCAGACTGGTCAGAATCTATCAGTCAATACCGCGCGCATTTCCTCGATTCCCAATCATGATCACAATGGAACTTCTTTAAAAAAATCCGATTTAAAGGGTAAGATTTATTTGGAATAAGGTATTTTTTGTCATTGTTTCAGTAAACGTTTCTTCATCCTTTCACAAAGTTTACAAAATGTACCTCCTGTAATTAAGCTTGTACTTTTAGCAAGGCGACATTTTAAAGCGCGGCCAGGGTAGGGTAAGACGGGTTCATGCGTGATGGAGCTCGTCACCTCTCTGATCTGCGTGGGGGCCCGAAGTATTTCGGGTCAGGGAGGAACCTCACATCGGAGGATGATACTCATTCTAAATGGGTGGGTGGGTATTAAAATAGACACATTATCTCTTGAATAATAATTCCACTTATAACGCCCTCAGTTGAATAAGCAGTATTAAGCGCCCTGTTACATCAAGACCATTTATAATATCTGACTCATATCACTCTAATAGCAGTGCATGGACTTCCTAGCTTGCAGTGGCGGATCCAGACCTTGAGGTAAAGGGGGAGGGGGGCGGGGGGGACGCTTTTGTTTTGCTTGCCCTGCCACGCCGGCTTTTCTTCCTTCTGCGATTTTTTCTCTTTTTGTGTGACTCTTATTTGAATTTTGAGTTGACCCTGAGTTGCGAACGATTTGTATTCATAAGCTAGAGTTCAATGTTCGTGAGCAAATGAAGCAAACAGTCTTTCTTTATCGAGCAAAATTAGTTGTTTCATAGATTGCCACTAAGCTCTCAAGACAGCTTTAATGAGCCCCTCAGTTAAAATGATCTTTTCTGAGTATTGAAGCCTCATTCCAGCTGCCCATCTCAAGGACAAACGCATAACTGCGTATTCAACATGGCGGCACGGCTTTCAGCAGTCAAGCACTGACGTTGATCAATGTAGAGCGGGGAAACATAATGAATGAATTTCAAAACTACTACAGAGGCTCTCTATCCTTTCAGGAGCTCGTTAACCAATGCATAAACATGAGGCCGGAAGATTATTTACCGAAACGACAAATTGCGGTAGATATGAGGGTTTGAGGTATATCCGAAGTCCGCCTTGAGGTTTCTGGAAGAGAGCTTTAATAGTCACAAGAGATTGGCGGCTTTATGTGATCTTTTGTAAGACCAAAATCGTCGTATCCTTGTTCTCGTCCTAAAGGCGAAAAATTTCTCAATATTGAGATTCCTCTTAGGCTCCTTGAAGAAATGCAAAAGCAAAGTTTAATAAGACATACGTTTTATTCTTGTCGGCCAGTTAAGTTAATTTGCCCAATCAGGTGTTAAATCACAACCACGTGATTTTTCTCATGTATTTTTCCCGCGCTAACCACGGGTAGGCAACATAAGTGACGCGCCTTTTCCCTGAGCTCTGATTGGTTTAATTCATTAACTTCTATGTAAACTTTGTTTCGAAGCCTGGCTCCTGAAACTACCAGCACTACAGCCTCTCTCGAGCCTTTTGGACGTGGACAATTTAGGACAATCTAGAAATGACCAACGTGTCAGTAGATGTACAAGTAATTACATTTTGGTGAACAAAGAATGTAGGACTATCCACAGGTCATGCTCATAGGCTCAGTGATAAAATTTTATGTCAAATTTAAATGAAACCTCTAGGACTATAGATAATGACTGAAATCCCTAAAACCAAACAAACAAACAACAACAACAACAACAACAACAAAATCCCGAAACATACTATGCTAGAGACCCCCAATCGAGTAAGGAGAAATAGAAAAAGAAATTTATAACGAGGATTATCAAAAACTGAATCATTGGATAATGCAGTTCAAGAGTTTTCATTGGCTTAGCCATCAGGGAATACGAGCAATTATACCATGCTCTACAAATATGGCAAGCGTACGCACAATTTTTGGAACGTTTTTATTTTTATTTCAGTTTACTGTTCGATGTTTTGGGGGCGTGTGTAATAAAACAATTATTCCACTCGCGCTTGTTGGATACGAGATGGTTATAGCCAAGCGCCTCGTTGGCTATCTAATAGGCTGATTTAGCAAGAGAACGGGAACGTCACTTGACGACGGCGCGCCCAGTACAAATACCCAAATAGGGTCAAATTAGAACAGAATCCAGGTTATTCCGCGCGCCCTGCAGTCGTCATCTGACGTTCCCGTCCTATTGCTAAATTAACCTACCATCTCATATCCAACGCGCGCTCGTAGAATATTAAATATGGACTGAATCCCACGTCAAACTAAATTTGACTTCATGAAAATGGTTGTCACGCAATTCATGCAAATCATGACTTAACTGGATTTTGCCATCAAGAAAACACATTTTTGTTAAGAAACTGAGTTTAAGGGCTTGTTTTTTAGTACCATGCTTTTCAGAGGAGGGGTACGGTAAGCATCGGAAGCCTTCTGATTCTGGCTTTGGAGCTTTCAACAAATCGTGTCATTTTCGTACATGACTATGGAAACTAAGATTACTCTGCGAAATGAAAATGAAAGAAGTTTATTTTAGAGTAGAAGAAAACTCAGAGAGATCGCGCGAGACTGTGATGCTCGCGTGCTGTCCTCGCGCGTTAAGTTTATTTCCTGGTGTTTGTATTCTTTTATGTCGTGATTTCAGGCGTGTGAAACAAGCCTATTTCCTGGAGTAAAAATGCACTCGTTTATCCTAAATGAAAATATAGACCCAGTGCCAGTACAGTAAAGAAGCCAGAAGAAGCCAGAAAGGAAACGTGATCAGGTTTAGCACGTGATCCTTGCGTGACATGACATGCAGCGTAACTTGATATGAAGCTACCGCAGGTTCAACCAGGAGCCTACCTGCATTTTGGCGGGAAAACGTGTGCGTTTTCTTAAAAAGCGCAGTTTCAAACGGTCGCACTGTTTTCTGATTGGAAAATGGAAATCTAGATCATTTTGAGTTCTGATCACCATAATCTTCGGATTTTTATTAGAAATCTTCGGAAGTATTCGGCAATTTCCGTTAATTTTCCAGAATTTTCAGTTCAGAAAATAATCAGATACGAGCAAACAACCGACTGGATTATAAACAATTATTGGATGAGGTTTTTGTGGGAAGGATTTTCAGCCGAAATCTAATAATTGTTTTATTATACATTGACAGGATCCTGACATTGAACGAAAAAAATGGAAGTCATGCTTTTGCTTCTTCACTGACGGCAAGCAACACAAAGCGTGCGAACTTGACACGATTATCCTTAGAAATCATGAGAACCTTGAGTGTCCTTGACATGATTATTGTATAATCTGCAGCTAGATGACGTCACAGGCGCTGATTTGTTCACTGTAAGCTTTCGGCCAATCAGAAAAGAGATAGTGAGTTCAATGTATAATACTATTAAAAACTGCACGGAACATACGTTCGGTCCACCTTTATGAATTTCTTCACGTTATCTGTCCTTGTTTCATGTAAGAGAGAAGATCGGGCTAGAGAGGAATACTGGTTCTCACGTAGGTTTTCTCTCCAAAAAGAAGTGTAATTTGAAAATATGAAGAGAGCAAAGCTGTGGTTGCAGAAGGAAATTTTTCAGAGTAATTCTATTCCTAAGAGATCAAGGTACTAATGAGACAAATGAGTCTATGAACCATGAGTCATTAGTTAATGCCAGTCTTTCAAGTATATGCTGTGTTACCATTACCATTAGTGGGAGTTAACTGTAAACAGGCCGGCCAACCTGGGCTAACCAGAGCGCTATCTACTGAGCTAAACCGGAACACTGTCGAGGCTAACCGGAGCGCTGTTAAGACTAACCGAAATACTATTCAGGCTAACCATAATGCTATTCAGGCTGGTATGATGGAAAAGACGAGGCATAGGGTACCAGGGTTGGGGTGTCGGGGTGTCGGGTTGCCGGCCGGTAGCTGGGTAGCCGGGCTAGGGCTGGACTGCCGGGTGCCGGAATCTATGGAAAACAGGGGGTGCCGGGGTCTGTGGTAAACACGGCAACCCGTCACCCCGACCTCAGTACCCCGTACCCCGTGCCCCGCCTTTTTTACCATGCCATTCAGGCTCAACGAAGGTGCTTTTTTAGTTAACCGAAGTGTTATCTAGGCTGGAAGGATGGAGAACTTGGCTCCTAGTGCGTCAGGGTGTAACCAGGATTCTTCAAAGGGGGGTCACACTGTGTCAAAGGGATGGTGCACACCAGATTGTCATGTCGTTTTCGCCACCTTTTGTAGGTTGTTTACTTGAAAAAGGCTTACAAAAGGACGGGGGGTCACGGGCACCTCAGGACCCCCCTAGCTACCCCTCTGTAGTGCATGCAACTAAAATCAAACCTATGGCTTGAAGTGCTATTCAGGCAAACCAGAGAACTATTTAAGCCAAGTGGAGTGCTACTCGGGCTAACTCAAGTGCTATTCAGGTTAACGCAAGTGCAATTAGACTAGTGACTTAATGACTAATGACTGAAGAATCTTGAGACCTCTGTTCCCATACTTGTGGATTCCTAGATCAGTGATCCCAATGCTCTAACTGATGTATCGAGCGTGGCTCGGTCAATTTAAGTCAGTGCCACACTGTGTGACCTTGCCAGTAATGTCAGTGACTAGGCTTCGTTTTACACCGACTTGTTAGATGACTTAGATCGCGAGGCAATAGACAGCATCTATGCACAGTTTTCGGGGAAAAAATGTCTCAGAACTTTTAGCAAGAGACTTGTTTTGAGGGATGGTTTATTCTAATCCTTTTAAAGACAATGCTTAGTAGAATACATCAAGAATTCAATGTATCAACAAGATTTTGGCGCTGAATAGACTACCGTGTGGCACGACATTTTTGCCAAAATTTAACTTTGAGGATCTGCGATTTTTTTGCAGTTTGGGGAAACTAATTTTTTGAAAGACTGGTTTTTCGAGCTTGGAATCAATTTTTGCGATTTTCAGAAAATCGCATGTATTTGAAATACAACATTTTCGGCGTTTTTCTCAGATTATACTGCTCGGTAAACCTTCAGACGATCTCATGTAGTTTAATTAAGCCCGGCCTGGGTCAGGAATGTAAAGCAGAGTTATGGTTGGGCAGCTATATCTCAGTCTTGTCATATTTGTTTTACCAAGATTAACTTTTCCCTGATTATAAAACTCGGCGGCCTGCCTTGCCTTTTATTTGATCACGTGACGTGTCACGTGATCAAATGATATGTTGTTAAAATTTGGTAAATCGGCGTATTGGTGGCGAATTTCATTCTATTGATCAATAAATGGGCATTTTCCATGCAAATTTAAATTATCTAGCTTGTTACCGTTGAAAAGATCTTCCTTGATTTCGTTTTGAAAAGATATAAATGATCAAAAGTCGAATTTTATTGAAAAACGACCTTTGACCCTATCAAATTTTTCGGCGAAAAGAGGGACAGTCATTCCAAACGTGAGAGGACGGAAATAGTTGATCTGCATCTAAAACGCGTTTTTGTTGGATGATATTACTAAAAACCGCCATCGATTCCGCCAATAGTGACCATTTTCCGTTAAAAGTCACGTGACATGTCACATGACCAGTCAGAAGCACCAGTTCTACTTTAAAATGTTCAGGACGTTAAAACCTAACTGCGTGCTAAATTTGATTCCATTGCCATTTGTGCCTTCAGAAATATAATAAATTATTTTTATTAGTAAAAGCCTTCGAATGTGGTCCAGGCTTTAAACACGAAGGCGCGGTATAAAAAGACAGTATTCTACAATACCCACTGGGATCAGACTTGACATTACAAGTACAGTTGAACCCATTCTCGTCACCAGAGCCCACGATCCTTCCGGCCTGCGGCAGGGATCGAGAGTTCTGGGCTGGTCCAACACCGGAAGTCCGCGATTCACGGACTTCTCGTCAAATCTGGCAAATCTGATTGGCTGAGAATACGAAACGAATACTCTGCGCATGCTCAGAAAATCGTGTCCGGCCAGAGCCCTCGATCCCTGCCGCAGGCCAGAAGGATCGTGGGTTCTGGGGACGAGAATGAGCTGAACCCCGCTATTTCCAACTCGCAGGGGAAAAGAAAAATTGTTCGAAATAGTGGGAGTTCGAAATAATCGATATTAACAACTGAAGAGCAAAACCAAGGCAAATGGTTTTGAGTTCGAAATAACGGAGAATTCGAAATAACCGAATTCGAAATAACCGAATTCGAATTAGTCGGGTTCAACTGCAGAACAATTATTCGCATAGACATTGCGACTAGTGGAACAGTATCAGTTTATAATCCTTTTGTAAACATGATTCCTTGAAATAGAGACAAGTAGAGACAGCAAAGACACTTTGATTCACTCACAGCTTACATTTCGTGTATTCAAATCGCCCGCCATTTTGAATTTGACCCGCGCACGTCAACGGTATCTGACAAATGAGCCTTGGTCTTCCCAGGGAATACTTCCTTATATAGTGCGCCTTTGTGTTTAAACTACTCAATGATCCTTTCCTGTAAACGTTTTAGCAATTACACCTGTAGTGTACCGTGGGCAATTTCATCGTTTTATTTAAAGAGACGCTTTACTTTAGTAATTAAACTGCATCAACAAGATTCTACATGTGATGTTTGTATGTGTAATCTCGCCAGTAATGAAGTAAAATTTTGAGGAAAAGTGTTTTGTGGGAATATTTTTGCAGATAGTGGAAAAAAAAGGTGCGAAAATCGCAAAACTTAGAATCTGCAAAAATTTCGTGCCACTGTCACACTGATATTTAGGTCTGTTAAGAATTAGCGGAAGCTGTGTATCTAGGTAGTGTGAGACACTTAAAATGAAAATTCGACTTTCAAGAATAAACCCTGCAAAAACGTCAAAAAATTATAGAAAATGGTAAAAGCGGTGTAGTTTATGATACCAGAATTTTTTTCAAGTTTTTGGTGTCACCATACCTGAAGGTCTTCATATCATAATGTAAATTAGATTAATTAGCCATGTGCCTGCCAAGGAAGCAAATATTGAAAAGATCGAAGGAGGTTTTCCATAAAGTGACTTGTCCCTGTCAAACTATGAAATATCGATTTCGCTGTATTGCTTACATTTAACAATTATCCCGCGAACGTGCGTTGGAAACGAGATGATGTAATAAACTCTTATAATCCAGCAAATATTTTCGTTCACGCACGATTGGTCTAAACGCCTCACGTAACTGAATATTCCCCAGCTAAAACTGAGGAATATCCGAGTGATATTCCCCAATGGCAATTTTCAAAACCGCGCGTGTTGCGAAAAACATTTGAAGAAAAAAGTAAATACAATTGCAATAGCATACATTTGGCGCAAAAAATATGCTCGGATATTTGTCCTTTTACATCTATCTGTTCCTCAAAGCTTACTGTTTTCCTCCAGCTTCTCTCTCGGAAGACCGTTCGCTTCTCGGAACAGATTATGTACGCGGACAAATATCCAAGCATATTTCTGCTCCAAATGGAGACTATTGTTTTTATATCCAACAAACGCAATTGGAATAATTGTTTGATTTAAAACGCCCACAAAATATAGAAAACGTAAGTAAAATAAGAATGCAAACGCCCCCAAAAATCACGCGTACGTTTACCATATCTGTAGAACATGGTTTAATTGCTGACTATATAAACCAATGAAAACTCTTGAATTGCGCTATTCAATGATCCAGTTTTTAATATTCTCGAATAGTTACTTGAAATCTTTACTTGCTATACTGTGCAAGTCGTTTATTTTTCAAAAAAAAACCACCAACATTTCCTAAAACGTAGAAAATATAATTGAAACATAGCATGGCTAGGCCGGAAAAACTTGTCAGATATTATAATTAAGCAATTGAAATGTTCAGACAACTTTGCATTTTGTCTCACGTGAAATATTTTGCTTTGTGAAAACAAACATGGCAGCTATCGTGGATTACGCTTATTTACATTGAAATTTAGAATAGATAGCCTTTATTTAAACACGATTAAAGTCAGTATAATAAGCTTTTAGGGTTTCCGTGACGCAAATATCAAATGTCGACGTATGATAGATCGGTGAAGTATTCCATAAACCATGCGACCACAAAATAAGAAGGAAGGATTATAGCTCTCA